CAGAATAGGCCAGTTGCGTGGTTGGTGACGTCTCCGTGTCCTATAGGAGCAAAGCTCGTGAGATAGCAGCTATCGCCTTGAACTCTCTTTATTTTATTGGAGTATGGCTGGTAATAAACAGTAATATTTAATTTGTCTGAGACCACAAATCGGCTTCTAGCTGGAAGGCTCCCTCGTCTTGACATTACAGTCCTAGGGAGCCTGGGCTCGCGCTCCTTTTCCCAGCTTTTTTTTTTTTTTTTTTTTTTTTCCTTCTTCTTCACCCCCCAACCTGCGGACGGAAATAAATTCGATTTATTTGCATCGTTTTCAACTTGTCTTCGAGGTGTTTGCGAGCCTCTTTGGCGCTACGGAGGTGAGTGCGCGACCCGCGCCAGTAGCGCTGCCCGGGCGGCAGCCGCGCTCGAGGGCGATTCCGCAAACTTCGAGATTTCCACTTTTGCCTTCTTTTTGGCGAGGGGAGGGGAGGGTCGCGTTCTTCCTCACTAAGAGCTGCGGGCAGCCTTTTTCCTCGATGCAGGCAAGCTTTTACCTCGTTGCTTGGATATATTTTAATGAAACAATAATAATTATTATTAATAATAATTCTCCTCTGGCTTGCTTTCAGCAGGGGCGCGTTCCCAACAGTCGCGTCCCCCCGCTTCGACCCGGCTTTCCCGCAGCCCGGCCGGGCTCTGCTGCTTGTATTCCCCCCTCCGTGGCGGTGGGAGGGCAGCCGGGGCCGTGCCCGCTCTCTCCAAGGCCGAGGCCGGAGCGGCCGCGGCACCGCGCGGAAGCACGGCGCGATTTGTTCGCTCGCTCGTTTGTTTGTGTTTGGAAGGGTTCCTCGGCTCTCTCCCCTCTAAAAATAATGAAAGACGGGACAAGCTTTGTTCTGTTTGTTTAAGTAGCGCTCGCTGGCTAATTCTCCGCGGCTACAAGTGCAGTTATTTTATTATTCTGATTTGCAACAGTTTACCGTTCGCTGTTTCTCCTCGGTAGAGCGCACCGGGGGGGGCCTTGGGAGATGCCAAGCTACACCCACACACGCCCCCCCGGCAGCTCACCCCCCGGACTTTTCGCCCGCTGCTTTCTCCTGCAACTCGCAGACGCTGCGGCGTCCCCGAGCCCCGCGGAGCTGAGCAGCGCTGTGGCTCTGCTGAAACTTCCGCGAAATGCAAAAGGAACGGCCGAGAGGCAGAAAAGGGTTGAGGTTTGGGGAGAGTTGGGGGGGGGGGGGGGGTCTAGAGCAAAGGGGAGGGGGTGGAAGGAGAAGGAAGGTGGGCAGAGCAGATCTAAAACATGCCATTTATTCCGAGTCTTATCAAAAATCCGACTCGCCAATCTGGTTCTCTTCAGACTGCAGAATGCCACAGGAAGGCTGTTTACCCTGCGCTGACCTATTCAACTTTACCCTCAAAATAATACATTAAAAAGAGAGCGAGAAGAGAGAGGAGGAAGACGCAGATAAAGCCACGTCCCCGCTCCTCGCTGACGGTTTGATTATTTGAGCAGAGCGGAGGCTGCGGGGCTGCGTGCCCTGGCCGGGCAGCGAGGCGAGGGGTGGGGGAGAGGATGGAGAGAGGGGCTCGGGGGGACGACATGCACTGCAGGGTCCGCCTTGGTGGGTTCAGTCCCTTCTCCGCCGTGTTCCATCCCTTTTCCCTGCTTATACGGAGGGTCCACTTGAAGGGGTCTCCCCCCCTCCCTCCCCTTCTCCCCCTTCCCATAGATTTGTATTATTATTATTTTTTAAGGCCTATGTAAGCAAAGATAGAGATGGGTTCGCATCCACACCTCTAGGCAGGCTCTGAGGGCGGGGGGGGGGGGGGGGGGGTGGGGGTGGTGTGAGGTTAGCGGAGCCAGCGATTTATTTAAAGGGGTGAGGGGGAAGGGGGATATTCCCAGGCGCTGAATTTTCTCTTTGGTTGGGAGAGATGGATGGAGGAGGGAGGGAAGGAGGTAAGGCAGAGGGGGAGGGCTGCTGGGGAGTTTGGCGATTGTCTTTGTGCCTTGTTCTTGTTTGCCGGCCAGAAAAATAGGCTGGAAAAGGAGGTTTGGGGGGGGAGGGGGCGGGCGGGAGGGTTGGGTGAGGGAGTCTCTCCGGAGCAGGATCCCAGCTGGTTGGGCAGCGGGTCCCGGCACTTGGCGAGCAGAGCTGGACGGGCCCACGTCCCCTCCGCGCTCCGCTCCGCACCCCGCGCTCGACTCCGCGCAGCCCCGCGGTAGCACCACGCTGAGAACCTGCCCTGAGCGGTCGCTGCCAGCCCGCCTGGAACTTTTTTTCCCCATTTTCTTTTCGAAGGGGGTGCTGTTGGCTTTTTCCTCTCTTTAGCCCTCTCCCCCCCTTTTTTTTTTTTTTTTTTTTTTTTTTTTTTTTTTTTAATGATTGCTTTTTTTTATTTTGAGGGGGGAGTAGAAAGATTAGGGTGGGGAAAAGTGCATCTTCCAGATCAGGCTCAGAAAAGGGTGGGGGTGGGGGCTTTATCTCGGTCTCAGGATCCTTTCTGGTGCGTCTGACAACCTGGAAGTGTTTGGAGAGAGCAGGAGAGAGAGAGAGAGAGAGAGCGAGGCAGGCAGGCGGCTTGCGTTGGATAGAGCTTTTTCTTCCAGGCTGGGTTTTCACATGCTGATCCGCAAATAAATAAATAAAAGGAAATATGCACACGAGAAGCCTGATCCCATTGTAATTTCCATTGCCAAGGGGGAAAATATACACATATATATACATATGGAGATGCATTGATTGCATGGAATTCAACAAGCAAGGTAACAGCTCTTCCATTGCCATGTATGTCCGTCGGTGTCTGTAGTGCGTGTGCGCGTGTGCGACCGAGAGAGAGCGAAAGTGGCTGTCCGGGGTCATTGTTAGACACAAACTGTCTGTGCCGAGGAGCGGCGAGGCCTCGGGAGACGCGGGATGCGGGGGGGCCGCTCCGCAGGGCTCCACGGCGGTGTGCGGGGCCGGGGGGGTCGGGGGGCTCGGGGCGCAGCGAGAGCAGCCTGGAACAAAAGGAGAGGGTGGGCTGGGTTTCCTTTTTTTTTTTTTTTTTTTT